CTGTGCTGCATCACTGGGGCTTGCAGAGCCTTTTTAGAAAGCCTGCTGGCATCCCCAGCAGGTTTACTGAAGGAGTCAAACAGAGAGAAGCAGCATCCAGTAGCCAGCCAGGTGGTCTGGCTCCGTGCACCAGCCATACACCAGCAGCAGGCAGGTGTCGGCAGCGGTGACCCATAACAGGGTCGGGCTGTCCTTGCCACACTTTGGGGACACTGATTAAAATATGTCATGCCTGTTTTCCGCTCCCAACAGAGGCTGTCCTTGGGCAGGACAGACGATCCTTCAGGCAGCGCTTTTTCCAGCTGCATGCAGAGTTCATTAGTACGACGGGAAAGGAAACACAAGATCATCAGATCAGATCAGTGTTTCACTATGTTTTGCATCACAGCCCTATGCACAGCTCTTTCCAGGGGCTTTGCGGTAAGGTGACAGAAACCACCCTGTTGGAATGCTGTGGAGTGAAGGTTCCAGAAGGAAAATGTGGCAGACGTGTCAACTCCCTCCCTCCAACTAGAAAAACAAAGAATTTATTGTGTTAAGGGTCACAGCTGCTGAGACAGAAAGGAGTGAGGCTTAAATCCAGTGTTCTGTGATCAGTACAAGAGGGAAGAGGCAGGGAAGGATGTTCTCTTTCTCTGTTGTAATTCTTGCTGGTTGTGATTGCATTACAAGAACAACAACAACATCCTCACAAGGCCAAACGCAGCAACAAATATTCACAGCACCACGTTATAAGGCCAAGGTTTGAAACTAATGGGTATCCAAAGTTCTGCTTTCAGCTGTTTAAACAGCCAGTTTTTTGCTATCCTGAGCCTTCTTCAGGAGCTAAAATTTGGATACTCAGCAAGGGATCCATCCAGAATTTTGGGTGGCCTTGAAAGTCATTACTCTCCATATTGTGCCGTTTCCCAGGCACCTATGGCTAGGAGGACAGCAAGGTGGTTTCTCACAGAGGATAGAAGGAAGCTACTGGATTTCAGAAGAAAACAGTTACTTTAATTCAGACTACATATCTAAATCTCTCACCTGAACTGAAAGTTCGGTCCAATCTAGAGAAAAGGAGAACCAGTATTTAACACTGCTCAGAATGGTCATGATCCATTCAGTATTCATATCCCGAAAGAAGAAGATAGTAAAGCAAATAAGCTTTAAAACCAGCATTCAGCAAGATTTTTAGCAAGTACAATTTTGCAGTTCATCCCAGCATTAGCAGTGCAGATATAAGCCATGTATTGTGATAAAGCCTTAAATCAGGGAGGAAAACAGAACAAACCAGCCCCGAACCAAACAAACCTCTCCATGATGCGCTAAGTTACAAAGAGCAAGAAATTTCACACTGTCCGGTTTTCATGCCTCTTGTCACCAGACACTGAAAACAGTGACACAAGGTGACTGCCAGCATTAACCTTTCCTTGGAATTCTGCTGCCCCTCCCTGCAAGGCCCTGGCAGAAATTTACCAATGTTGTTAGCTCTCTCCTACAAAATCACATAGAATTTTATTCATTGCAGGAATGTCCTAGGGTTATTTGCAAGGAGTGGGCAAGGAGTGAGACTGGGGAATTGGGGAGGGCATTAAACTCTGACCATTCATCACACTGGGCTGGAGGGGGTGGGTGGAGAAACTGACCCCAGAATTCTGAAGAATTTGGGAGGGGGTGGGTGGATCTTGCCACTGATGGGGTCCCACGAGGGGTGTGGGACATACATAGGTGAGGGGAATGCACAGGGGCATCCCAGATGACACTCCTCCAGGGATTCCCTCAAAATTCCAGTGAATTCCTCAGAATCTTTGCCCCGCTCTGAACCCCGGTCCACTGTCTCCAGGGAGACAGACCCAAATCTGTCTGGCTTTTTCCCAAAACTAATGAGAGAAGTCCCAGCTGAGGGTTCTGGAGAAGTCCAAGCCCAGCTCTTAGACAAAAAAAACCAAAACCAAAACCCAAAACTTTAAAGTGCTTAAAAAAAACCCATATGTAACTGGGAAAAATGAGGTTTTTTAAAATACATGAAAATGAATGGGTTTTCCTTTAGAAAAATAAGAAGAAAAAATGAGATACATAATAAAGGATTTTCTTGAAAAAAATACCAGGTAAATGAGGAACAAGAATTTTTTCCATAGAATAAAGAGAATAAGAGGTTTTTTCCCTTAAAAAAATCCCTAACAACAGAGATATTAACTTATTTTTAGAAGAAACAAAGAAACCACACTGAAAATTATGGTGGTTTAAAGGGTTATTTTTTCTTCCAAAAAGTAGAATTCCAGTGTATAAGGACATTTTTTTTTCTTCCTGGACAAAAAAAGGCCAAAGTACATAATAAAGATTTTTCTCAGCCTCAAATAGCAACAAAAAAGTCCTCAAAATCCCAAATAAACAGGGATAATCTATTTTCTTCCCCATAATAAAAAAGGAGATAAAGGATCTATAATTTAAAATTATTTGAAAAGTACATTTTTGTTTCAAATAATTAAGTCAGGGATGAAAGTTGAAAGTTTGGAAAGGGGCACAAACCCCACACAGGATGAGGAGGAATCCAGAGGTGTCTCCAGAACTCCAAAATTATTGAAGTCTTTGCTGTGCTTAAAAAAATACATCTGGAAGAAAAATACATTTGGAGGAGCCCAAAATCCCTAACACGTGATTATAGCCTCAACACATGATTAAATTCCCCTTTCTAAAGAATCCTGGGAGAGCTCAGAGAGATTGCATGAGTGGAAAGCTGGCAAATTCCTTGTTTCCATGGGGTTTTTTTTGATAATGAAAGCAGCAGGACAAGGCAAAAACCAGCATTTGAGGGTGTTTGAGCTCATTTTCAGGCTGCAGTTCTTCACAACATTGAATTCCAGGTGAGGAACATTTATTCCAGTGGGATTTTGGTATTCCTTGGAATACTGTCTCTTTAAAATATTTATTTTTCATTAATTTAAGGAAGGTTTATGCCTTTAGATGACTTAAAAATGCATGAAAAAATGTAAATAATCCTCATTTTATTCAGAAAAAACAGGCAAAAAATCCTGAATTTGAGCACAGAAGGGGAAACATTTCTTCATTCATACAAACAGCAAAAACTGAAGTTTTAATTAAATAAAAATTAAATAAAAACCCTAATAAATAGAAGATAAATAAAAATAGCATTAATTTGAAAACTCTATTAAATAAAAAGGCAATGTATTTAGAATTAAAAGTTGAAATGAAATGAAATAATGTTCACTTAAAATTTTCAGTTAAAATTCAATCAAAATGAATTAAAAATTAAATAAAATTTTTAAATCTCTTGAATTAAATTATATTAATACTTTAAAATGTACTATAATTAAATTAAAAAGCCAACTTTTCAAAAACTTTAATTATTTTTAAGAATGTCTAAAGTACCACACATGCACACAGCCCTCCCCGCAAAATTCCTGGAAAAAGTGTGTGTTTGGTGTTTTAATGTGAATTTTTTTGCCTCTGGAACTTCATTTTACTGCATTATCTCTTTTTGGGAGGGTTGTTGGTTTGCTTTTTTGGATATATTTATAGGGTTTTTTTCAAGATTTCTTGTTTTTTACAGTTATTTTAGGGTCAAGGATGTCACCCTCTAGTGTTTTCTTCCTCCTAATATTAGGTAAATGTTTACTTCTGAAAAAGTGTTGTTATTTTCATACCTCTTGGACAAATGATTAATCAACTCACTTTCCTTCCTATTTCTTCTTCAGTTTCCATGGTGGACACTAAAACCTCATCTGAAAAAGGTGAATTTTGGGGGCTTTGCCCTAAAAAAACATTATTTCCACCTAAATCAAACTTTATCCCACCCACATCATACCATTTTCCCACTATTCTCCCAAAACCTCTTTGTTCCCCATGTAATTCCACTGGGGTCATTCCCATTAACCCCAGTTTCACCATGAAAACCCAAGAGAAGACACATCCATTTTCAGATAACCAAGACCATAGGAACCTCAAATTTGGTTGGTTACCCCCCCCAAAATCTATGTATTTGGGTAGGAATTTGGGGGCAGTTCCCAAATCCTATTTTTCCCATAGGATCCCTGCTCTATTCCTATGGGACACACCAGGGGGATGAAACCAACCCCAAACACAATGATGGGACATCCGAGATCACCCCCTCCGTTCCCTTCACCTTCTATGGGAAAACATACCAAACTGTGTTTGTAGGTCACCCCAAATTCCATATTTTTCAGAAATTCCTCCATTTTTCCAAATTTTTGCTCCATTTCTACTTAATTTTTCACTCATGTATGTGGGTGAGTGTGTGTATGTGTGTGTATCCCCCCAAAATCAACCCTTCTTAAATTCATAGTGGGTTTTATGCTTGGGCACTGAAACGTCTTCAGATGGGTGGGGAACTTGAGGGGCTGGTGGTATTGGGAGGGTTGAAGGAGCTTGGGAGGTTCTGAGGATGGTGGGTGATGGTGTGGTCCATGGTCATATGACTGGTGGGTCTTGGGGCAGTTGGTTGTTTTTGGATCTTCCCATGTTGGGTAGATCTTGGGGTATGTGGGATCTTGGTGGGTGTTGTGGAATCACATGGGTGGTGGATTTTTTGCGTTTCCTTGAGGGGTGGGTCTTGGGGGGATTGTTGGGTCTTGGGAGGTTCCTGGGGGTGGTTGCTGTTAGGGGGTTCTATGGATCTGATGTTTGGGGGGTCCTGTGGGTGGTGTGTTCTTGGGAGGTTGAGGGATCTTGAGGGATTCTTTGGGTGTTGTGGGATCCTGTGGGTGAAGGTTCCTGTGGATGGTGGGTCTTGGGGGAGTCCTGTGTGTGGTGGATTTTTGGGTGTTGATACATGTTGGGGGTCCCTATGGATGGTGGTCCTTCTCAAGGACCCCACAACCCAAGTCAAGCTGTTGCAGCCACCTGCTCCTGGTGTCACCTCCAGGAGAATAACAATGGGGTGATCTCCTTCGATGAGCCCATCAAACAATACACCCCTGACCCCTTCCCTCTGGTGGATGGGCACCCTTTCGTGGCTCCATACTGGGCAGATGTGGACAATGTGTGGACAACATGGGGACATCTTCTACCGCCAGACCACCGACCTGGTGCTGTTGGAGGACATCAGCCAGGACATCAGCCAGTACTTCCCCAAAAGCCCCTTCCCCATGGTGGCCACTTGGGACCCCATGGCCTACTATGGCTCCACCTCTGAAAAGGTGAGGTCCATGGTCCATGGGGCTTGAAGGTCACTCAAGTGCTCATTGGCATTTGTCAACAGACCTATCTTTGACCTCCTAAACCCATCCGTTACCTTCATGGTTCATTCTTGACCTCTGAGACCTTTCTCCATAGGGCAACACCTTCCAGGCTGTGCTGACCACTGACTCCAAGATGTTTTATACCATCCTCAGCTACTGGGACATCCAGTGGACCACAGGGGCAGCAAGTAATGGGGATGCTGAAACGGGACTTGGGGGGACCCCAGCACATGTAGGTGGGGAGGGTGAAGGAGAAGGGGGAGGTTTTCCCACTCCATGTTCTGAGGATGATGGTGATGAAGGTCAGGGATTGGCCCACCCATTTCCTGGGGATAATGATCATGGTCATGATGAAGGTCCAGGATTGGCCCACAACATTTTTGGGGAGGTCAAGTTTTCCGGTCCCATCTTCTGGAGATGATGATGATGAAGGTTAGAGGTTGGCCCATCCCAGCTATTGGAGATCATAATGATGATAGTGGTGATGAAAGTGATGATGATGACGATGATGATGATGATGATGATGATGAAGACAGGCTTCTTCTGGAGATGATGATCATGATAGTGATGTGTTATAGTTTAAGGCCTGGTGATGCGGAAGATTTCGGGATGTAACGGAAAGTTAGCAAAAACCCCTCTCTGCTACGATAGTAAAACCTTCTGCAATTAGCCAATAGCACCCAGGTGTGACGTAAGCAGATGGGAGTAACACAGTGACCCCAGGCTATAAAATGCTAAATTCCCCTGCAATAAACGCCATTGCTTTGCCATCCATCATATTGATGTCTTGTGGGTAGAATGGTCTGAGTGGCCAAGGGGGGCCACCGTGCTGGCTTCTGAACCAGGGTGTTTGCCTTGCTTGAAAAACCTGCAAGTGATGGTCACGGATTGGTTCATATCATTTCTGGGTGACACCAAATATGTTCACATCCTAAAACCCTTTTAGGGGCCAACTACCCCTTTGGGTGGGGTCAGCCCTTATATATTCATCCCCCCAATTTTCCAGGCAGGATTCAATAGTGGTGATGACACCAACTTCTACAACATTCCCGGATCCCAAACCAATGCCATCATCAACATCACCACGTCCTCCAATGTCAAGGTCCCGGGACGCTGGGTCTTTCAGGTGGATGACTTCCAGGTGACAGGTGTGGATCCTCCCCAGTAGAAAACAACTGGTTGTAAGTGGGAGGAGAAAATTGGGAATTTTGAGGAAAAGTGGGAATTTGGGCAGTAAATTCAGGAGTGAGGGGGGGGAAAGTGGGGATTTGGGGCAGTAATTTGTGACTGTGGGAAGACCACTGTGAATTTAGGGGAAGACCAAATTTGTTGGGGAAAATTAGGTATCTGGGGGGGAAGAGTGGGAATCTTGGCTGGAATATTGAGGATTTAGGGTTAAATTAAAAGAAAACTGGGCATTTGGGGAACAATTGGAAGTTTGGTGGGGAAAAGTAGATATTTTATGGGATAATATATGAGGAAGATTTTGATTTCTGAGGGGAATTTGGGGATTTTTTGGGGGTATTGGGGATTTGGCTGGGAAGTGGCTCTTCCTCTTGGACTGTTGATATCTCATCTAGGTGAATTGAGGGGAGTTCTGCAGAGGGAAATCACCACTGCCATTCTTATCACCAGTGAAGTCACTGTACAGGTCAAGATCATGCCAACCTCTATCAGAGCAATAAAATTGCAGCTAAGACACTGTAGTGTCCATGTCCTTGTCATTGTCATGGCACCCATGGTGATGTCATCACACTTATGTCACCATCATAATAATACACCCCTGACCCCTTCCCTCTGGTACGGTGGATTACCCTCACTGTTCCCACAGTTGCAGAGGATCTGAGGGGGTTGGGGTGAAATGTGACAGAATTAATCTAATTTTGCCTTTTTGGGTGTTAATTTCTGGGGTCTTGCACAGTATGAAGTCACGTGTCAGCCATGTGCACAAGAGACACAACCCACAACAGGCAGCTTGGCACACACCCCCAAAATGTGGCACTTAAAATACACTTGGACATCACAAGACACAAAACATGCAAGACACAACTTTACCCCTCTTGACCCTTGACTCCTACTCACAGAATCACAGGATCTCATTGAGGCTGGAGGAGAACTCCAAGATTCTCAAATCCAACCTTTAACTGAACACTCCATGTCAAGCAGACCTCAGCACTGAGGGCCTTGTCCAGATATTTCTTGAACACTCCAGGGATGTGATTATACCACTTCCCTGAGCAGACCATTCCAATGCCCAATCATCATTTCTGTGAAGAAATTCCTCCTGATGTCCAGCCTGAATCTCGCTTGGCACAGCTTGACACCATTTCCTCTTGTCCTACTGCTGGTGGCATGGTAGAAAAGATTCACTCCCACCTCAACAGAGGCAAAAACCTCTTTTCCAGGTAATCATAGAAAGTGATAAAGTCACCCCTAATCATCATTTTCCCGAGACTGAGCACCCACCAGGCTCCCTCAGCTGCTACTGATTCTCCAGATCCTTCCTCAGCTCTGTTACCTTCTCTGGACATCCTCCAGCCCCTCAATGTCTGTTTTGCCATGAGGGACCCAAAACTGCTCCCAGAATTTGAGGTGTGGCCTCAGCAGTGCCAGCACAGGGTATGGTCACTGCCCTGCTCCTGCTGCCGCACCATTGTTGGGACAGCCCAGAGGCTATTTGCCTTCTTGGCCACCTGGAACAGCTGGCTCAGGTTTTGCTGCTGTCATGACTGCCCCCAGGGCCTTTTATGAGTGGCTTCCCAACCACTGTGCCCCAGCTTGGAGCTGCAGGGGTTGTTGTGACCCAGGGACAGGATCTGGCACTTCCCCCCCAGTGCACGTCATGCCATTGGCCTGGTTGAGGAATTGATTCTGTCAATTCTTCAACCCACAAAACGTTTTTTTTTAAAAAAATCCCTCCTTCCCCTTTTCTTTTTGCCATTTTCCCTCTCTTTTTACCCCAACCAGACTCCCTATTTTCCAAAAAATATGCTATTTCTGCTCGCTCAACTCCTTGTCATTGTGGAATAATTTAAACCACATTGGGCAAAAAAACCTTGATATCTGGTAATTCCAAATTTTGACATCAGTTTTAAGAAAAAAACCTTGTTTTTCTCTCTGTTTTCACCTTTTCTGGCCAAAAATTATCTCACATCATTGGGTGGGGTGGTCCCTGGGGGTGCCTAGCTTAGTCATTTTCTTCCCCCTTTTTCTGCCAAAATTAAAAAATAATTGAGGGAGGAGCCAGATCTCCCGTCCTGGGATTGTGTTTTCTTCACAGATTTGGGGATAAAACGGAGCTCTTTGGGGATACAGAGCTAAGCTGGGATCAAACAGGGCCAAAGGCAGGTAAGGGCAAACATAGATCTAATAACTGATAGGTTTTTTTGGCAGGAAAGACTCTAAAGTGGGAAAATCCACCTGAAAACTCCTCAAACCCTCTCCTCTCCCCAGTCCCCGACTCCCGCCCCCCACGCCCCCCTCCCTGGCCCTGAGTTCAGTCCTGGGAGCAGTGGGATTGGAAGGTTTGTGAAGGGATTTGGGGAAGAAAAAGGCAGGATAGAGTGATGGAAGAGAACAAGAGAGGAGGAAAAGGAAGGAAAGGAAGAAGAGAGAAGAAAAGGGGGAAAGAAGGAGGAAAGGAAAAAGGGAGAGGAAAGGGAAATTTGGGAAAAAGAGAGGAAAAGAAAAAATAATGGGAAAATGTGGGGTAAGGAGAAAAAGGCAAAAAAAGAGAAAATAGAAAAAGGGGGAGGAAAGGAAAACTAAGGAAAGAAGGGAGAAAAACAGGGGAAAATGTGGGAAAGGGGGAAAAGCAGAAAAGGGAAAAGAGTGAGGCAAGAGAAAAGGGGGTAGGAAAAAGAAACCAAGGAGGAAGAAGAAAATAAAAATTAAAGAAGTGGAGAAAGAAAAGGGAAAAGGGGGAGGAAAGGATAAAAGGGCAAGAAAATTAAGTAAGTGGAGAAGTAAAAAAACGGGAAAGGGGATAGAAAAGGGAAAAAAGATGAAGAAATGGAAAAGCCAAAAGGGGATTTGGATAGAAAAATGGGATTTGGAGAAAAGAGGAGAAAATGGAAAAAAAAAAGCAAAAGAAAGAATGGAGGAAATAAGGATAAAAGAGGAAATCACAAAAAATTAAGAAGAGGAAAAAGTAAATGGGAGGAAAAGGGGAAAGAAGAAAAGAGGAAAAGGGAAAAAAGATTCTAAGTACTTGGTATGGTGGAGGAAGGCGTGTGGAAAGGCCCCCTGTCCTGGGGTGACTTTATGATACTGGTATCCCCAGTCGTCTGGTTTATGTTATATATTAAGTTCTGCACCTTTAAGACTGGCTTTGAGAGCAAGAGAGGGGGAAGAAGAAGCGCGCAGTTTGTGTTAAAGAAAAACATCACTCCCACACATCTCGCTCCTGGACTGTGGTGTCTGCAGCACGGACAGACAGCGGGACAGAGCTTCTCTCTGGCTTTTAGTTAGTTTTAGCTAGCTGAGGCAGAGGAGTTCCCTGGAACTTTGTTTGTTTTTTTCCCAATTTTCTTGGATCTGTGCAAGCCTGCTCTGGACTGAACACCCAGCCAAACCCCGGGAGCTCACGCCTGTGGCCCACCGGGGCCTGGGCCTCGGCACTTTCCAGCGCCGGAGGGACTGATAAGGAACCTGAGCGAGCCGAGCTACACCACATGAAAAGGACTTTTTTTTTTTTTCTCCCTCCTAGATTTGCCATCCCATCGAACAGCAAGAGGTTTTATTATTTAATATTACTCAATTTCTGTTAAATAAACAGCTTTTTCCACTTCTCTCTAAGGAATTTTTTCTTTTCCCGGACCAGTTAGTGGGGAGGGCCATTTCCCTGGGGAAATCCCCATTTGGAGTTTTCCTTCCTAATTTGCCCTAAACTAAGACACCCCCCAAAATCCAATTTTGACTCCAGGTACAATAAAATTCAAATTTTTGAGTAAATGCAATTAAAACAGAGAAGTTGTGGGTAGATTGAATGAGAAGAACAGATTTGGGGGACAAATTCAGTACAACACTGATTTTTGGGATGAGTACAAAGCTGAAACACACAGATTTTGAGTTTTATGTCAAGAAATGGTGAATTTTGGGAAAATTCTAGTGAGATTTAAAAAAATATGAGAATCTGAGTGTTTTTTTACCTTTTGCACCCAGAACATCATGGATAGCAGCTCAGAAAAAGCATACGTGCTGAAATGGTTCTGGATTGTTATGTTCTCAGGTAAGTTGAAACCAGGTGAGAAAATGCCCCAAAAGCTGTAAAATTCCCCTGAAATAATGAATTTCCTCAAAATAAGGGTTTTACTGCCCACAAGAAGGATTTCCCAGCTCAAAAGCTTGATCTTTTGCCCAGGAAATTAATTGGGTTTTCATCAAATTCATGATTGTTCAAATGGTTTGTTTTTGTGAATGATGATCCAACAGATTAATCTAATTCATTAAATATTTGTTCAGAGTTTACTCTCCCAGCTGAAGTTCACACTCACTTCTTTCTCTAACTGGAGAATGAGTGTATGAAAAATTAATCAAATCAATGATCAAATTAACACTCCATCAAATCAGATCTAACAAATTAATAGTTCATAAAATCAATCAAGTCAATCAAATCTGTGATCCATTAAAGCTATAATCCATCAGATCTGTGTTAATTTACATTTTTTTCTCCAAAATAATATCCCATCATATTAAATCCATAGTCCATAAACTCAGTAAACTGTCAAATCAAAATCAATGACCCATGAAATTAACACTTCATCAAATCAACAGTCTGCCCAATAAAAAGTCCATCAATTTATTAATCCATTGACTCAAAAGTCCATTGGTTCAATAATCTATTGAATCAATAATCCATTAAATCAATGATCCACCAGATTAATAGTCTAGTAAATTAAATAAAAGGCCTATCAGATTGAAAGTCCATCAAGCCAATAATTTATCTAATTACTAACCCATTAAATTAATAATTCCTTAACCAATAATCCACCAAACTGATCAAGTTATCAAATCAATAATCTAGCAATCAGTGGTCCATGAAATCATCTGTCCATCAAACCAGTTATCCATCAAACCAATCAAATCTTCATCAAATCAATAATCCATGAAATTACCCACCTCTCTTCTTCCTCCCCCCAGCTCTCCTCTATGTTCCCAGCATCACCTCTGAGATGTCACCACCTCACCTGGGTGATGAGTTCCTGGTGGCCTTCCTACAGAATGGTGACCAGCGCACCCTTCACAGCGATTTCCGCCTCCTCCTCCTCACTGGCCATTCCCCCTCCACCACTGCCACCATCTCCATGAAGAGACCGGGATTACGGATGACGGTGCAGGCAGCTGCCAACCAACCAGTCCTGGTGAAGATCCCACCCCAAGCCGAGATGGTGGGAAGCCAAATTTTTGAAAACACTGTGGTGGTGAAGACCACTGCCACCATCACTGCAGTGATGGTCAATGACAAACCCATGGCAGCTGACTCTGCTGTTATTATTCCGGTCCACAGGTGGGGGACAGAATATCACGTGGTCACTCCCAACCCTGGCCCCACCCGCAATGCCCAATTTGTGGTGGCCGCTTGGGATCAACCCACCACAGTCAACATTCACCTCAATGCCGATGTGATCTTTCGTGGACAACTGCACCAACGTGGCTCCACTCTTACCATCCCACTGGAGCCATTCCAAGCAGCACAGATCCAGAGTGTAGCTGATCTTTCTGGAACACGGGTGGTGGCACAGAGACCGGTGGCTGTTTTCAGCGGTCACACCTGCGTGGGCAGGCTGAGCCGCTGTGATCATGTGGTGGAACAGCTCCACCCTATTGCCCAGTGGGGAAAATCCTTCCTTGTGCCACCTCTGCCCTTCCAAGGACAATCCAACCTCATCTACATCACTGCTGCCCAACCAACACGTGTCACAGGTCATGGTGAAGTCACTGAGACCACACGAGAGATACAACCCAATCACTCACTGCTCTATGACACCCAATCTCCAAAGGGCGTGTTCCTCACTTCCGAAGATGGTGTCCAGGTTTTTCTGTTGGGAAGTGGCAGAAACAGTGGTGCAGTGGCCTTTGAGCCGTTTTTTGTCAGCATCCCAGACATAACTAATTACTGCAACTCCTACAGCATTGTTGCGCT